GGCCCGGTTTAACACACACCGTTTCACATGCAGCCCTCTCCACTTACTCCAAAATACAATTGTTTCACTTATCATATTTCCAGCTTCTTGTTACAGATTGCTATTATTAATACAAAGTAATTAAACACACACATATATTATTCAAGATATGTAGACTTCCCTGCTACTTGACATGCTGGAGATCTTAAGAAGAATGTCTCCTCCCCCACCTAGTCTCCTGTCCTGCATAACTGCTCCTTCTTCATACAGAGTAATAAAACATGTTTAAGCCAACTACTCCACAATGTTTGTAGCAATTCAGTCCTCACATTATGAAAGAATAAAACAGAGAAATCAATAAAACACAAGTACAGGTATAGTTTGAGCAGTAATCCCATCTAGCTGCTGCAATAGATACACACTTGTTCCTCAACGCACACACATCTTTATCATTAACAGAAGTTAATTGTTCTTGTAGCTAAAGGGCTTCTGTGAACTTCCTTTCACCTCGAAGTCCGCTTTACTGGACTGAATACATTTATCAACATCAACGAAAGTGCTCAATAAATGCTGTATTGAACCAATAAACTAACACAAACTAACTATCACTATAACATGATGATGATGATGATGGTGATAAAGAATGCATCTAACGTTCCGCTTTTCATTATAATAAAAAAACAGAGCATTAAACAAACCATCATGCTCTTACTTTGAAATCATGCGGAAATGTCGTCATCAGCAGGCCATCACGTGGTTTCCGAAAATAACCGAGTGACACGAGTAGATTTTAGCCGAGACCGGCGGAAAATATGTCTCAAAATTCCGTGTGTGTAAAAAGACGATCCACGAGCAGAAATGTGAGATCCACGAGCAGAGATTTGAGATCCGCGAGCGCATTTTTGTTCGACAAATACAAAATGGATTCACAAATGCCTGATCGAAAGTTGTAAATGTTAAAGAGATATTCACAGATCTTTTTTTATTTGTGAAAATATTTAGCGTATTTGCAGATCCGTTTTACACTTGCACATTTATTTGTGAGTTTGTAAATCTTTTAAATGCATTTGTGGTGTTTTACATTTACAAATCACACATTTACACACAAATTATTTTATGTTCACACAAATAATTATGAGACATATCTATGCCCATAGTTTGTGCATGTACAGTATATCCTCCCTGTGTGTGTAATGTGTTTAAACACAACAGAGTGGGGGAAGACATTTCCCTCTGAGGGATGAATACATTATATCTTCTTCTACTTAGAAATCAAAAGTGAATGGTCACATTAGGTTTGCCTGCAGTGAATGCTGACAGCTCTGAGCTAGTTTATAGATGTATCATGGCATAGACAAATGTCTCCTATAACCCACAGTCTATGGCTGTTACTGGTGGGTTATAGCATCGTGTTATATCTGAATTGTGCTCTGGTAGGAATTCGCACCCAACATGTTAATAACAGTCAAGTTTTCTTTTAACTCTATGGTTTTACACAGTTTTTATAACATGAAATTCACATATTTAACTATTACATCTTCAAATTAATACAAATGTAGAAATAAAGTGAAAGTCAAAATGTGTTAAAATGTAGTTTTTTTTACTCTAATACAGTTCTCAAAGTTTTGATGAGTGAGGGCCAATTTAGGTACCCAATATTGGATTGAGGGCCGCCCAAGAAAAAACGGAACACAAAATAATTCCAAAACAAATCCTTTCTTTATTGTACTAACCAATTACCGCAACTCGCGAGATGCCTAGTTGCCATGCAACCAGTAGTCTCGCAAACTTTCCACAAGCTGTCATTCATAATTTAGGAATGACAACCCAGGGGGCGCAGTTTTACCATTCTTAACCCTCTGGAGTCTAAGGGTATTTTCTCGATTTTTAGATGTTTTCTTAAATCACCTTTTAAATGTATTTCTTCTAATATGGCACTCCATGTGTTAAATATCAAAATGTTCAGGACAATCTCTGGTCTTGCTATATATGCATATTGCTCACCTTAGAGCACTGTTTGATGAGATAAGTAGCTCAAAAGCTTAAAATGTGAAATCAGATTTTTGGAAAATCTTCAAAACTCTTGTGAAAACACAAATTTACTCATGTGATCGAATTGTTTTGGTGTTTTAGATTTGGTTACCAAAGTCCTAGGATCACAAAAGCAGTAAAATGTTTGAGTTACCCTGTATATAAATGTGTTATTCATGTCTAAAATTAAATTCAAATTTTGAGTAAAATAGGTGTTTATCACTCTACTTTCACCACAGCAGGGACTGAGATACATTAGGACTGAATAATGACTTCATATTACATACCAAGGTTCATGTGATGTGTACAAATACAAATTGAGCATTCAACCTTTTTTTTTTCAACCAACAATTTATTATAAATATGTTTTTTTCAACCAACTATTTATATAAATATAAGAAACTGGAAAATCTCACTATTTACAATATTGAACATCAGAACTTTCAACCAACTATTCATTATAAATGTCAAGACAGTGTCAAGGTCTTTGTCTGTCTTCCAAGACAGTGGGTCTGGCTGCTGTGTAGGTGGGGGTGATGGTGCATGGGCTGCTGTGTAGGTGGGCTGTACAAGTGCTATACGAGACCTCCACGAGACCTCCTTGCTGGCTGGGTTGAAGGTGATGGCTGTGGTGGAGCCTTTGTGCTGAGGTGTATCTTGACCTGGTGGCAGCCGCAGATGGAGGTGGAGGTAGCTGTAGTGATGATGGTCTGCTGGTCCTTGGTGATGGCTCTGGTGAAGGCCCTTGAGCCACGGTAGATCTTGACCTGGGGGCCGGCACAGATGGATGTTGTGGCTGCTGGATAAACGCCGCCTGTGTAGGACAATAATTACAACTAATTTCATTGAAATAAAGTTCAAGTAAAATGTTGCTCAAGCACAAATAACAATGCACACATAAAAATAAAGTTTGGGAGGTTGCAGAAGGAGTCTCTCTCGATCTCACACACACACACACACACACACACACAGGTATTTCCAGTTACTTTACATTCAGTATAAAATCACAGACACACATATACATAGGCTACATCTGATTACAAAGTCTCATCTGTACAGGACGGTAAAATAATAACAGGCACACATATAAATAAATCTATGACAAAGTCTCATCTGTACAGAACAGTATGATAAAATAATCGATGGCAAAAACATGTCACTGTAAATGTCTCCGTTGTGGGACGAATAAATGATTAATTTAATCATCTACACATGTAATCTCACTTTTACACACCAAAATAACGTTAACACAGAGTAAACGTTTGCTAATGGAGAGTCTATTTTGTCCCATTAAAAAGTTAATGACTATCGATACAAAATATATATCAATAAACCTATTGTTCATTTTCGCGGTATTCCCCACACATTGCCAGTACACTATTACTGTAATATTTACACTTACCCATGTCCAAATGGATCCTTGTTGTTGTCTTTGTATTCTTCTTCAGAAGAAGAGTCGAAGACTTCAGGTTCTGAGGCTCTATCTTCACTGCTGCTAGCGAAAAAAATCTCTAGCGAAGTCGGCAACTTTTAGCCATTTTATCTGTCTCTCTCTCTCTCCTCACTAAAGGAAACTGATGGGAGACACGTGGTTTATGTTTTTTTTACTTGGTGGGTAGGCCCTTAGTGATTTCTCGATGTCCATTGGTCATTTCAGACCATGAGGGCTGCCGGCCGAGATTTCCTTGACGGACACACAAATCCACCAATCCCACACAGTGTAAAGTCAAGCTGCTTTGAGCGGCCATATTGGCTGCTGTGCCCTGGTTACAGTCTCACAGGAGATACCGCTGGAAAGCTACTCATTCTAATTCTTACTAGATACAACCATGGAGGATTCAAATATAACGCATGCATTTCAGCGTGTCACATTAACTATCGCGGGCCGCCAGAAACATTTCCGAGGGCCGCCATTGGCCCGCGGGCCGCACTTTGAGAACCCCTGCTCTAATAGGATAGTCAATACCTGTGTTTTTCAGTGTATCAATGTAAGGTAGTGGTTAAATTAAGCAAAATTACAAAATATTTATTTCTTTACTCATATTGTCTTGCAATTATACATCTTTTAAACGAGTATTAACAGTATTATGTATTTGACAGTGATATATTGGCATAACAAAAGTATTTTTTAGTAAAATTACAGAAAATGCAGCTAATTTTGCCAACAGAAAATCATTTATTTTTACGGTTAGTTTTGTTAAATTCACATTTAAAAACTGCTAAAAAAACAGATAAATAATGTATTCCATTTTTACAGTTTGTTTTTTGTTAAAATACATGAGACATTTCAATAAACCGTTTATTCTTGTAAATTGGTTATGATTTCCTTTAATTATGAAATACACAAAAAAACTGTAAAAAAACTAAAGTTTTACTATTTACTATAGTAAATGTAAAGTTTTTTATGTACTGTATATAAAAAACACACATATTTGAACATTTAGCAGGTTCCCTCATCTATAATCATTTATACAAGCGCAACTTTGAACATGTCCAGCAGTAAAATGCAACATACAAAGTAAACAAGAAACAACATAAATTAAACACTGACAGGGAACATTTTACTACACCATCATTACCGTTACATAGGAAGGTGCCGTCAAATGTTCTGTTAATACTTGCATACTTTTACTTAAATAAGGTTTGAATGCAGGATTTTAATTTGTAACAGAGTATTTTCATTCTATACTGTAGGCGTAGTGTATCTGTGAACGATCCCAAATACAATTCATTGTTTACATTGCGGCTAGTGCTACGCCAGAAGAAAAAACCCTTTTACATTTTTAACTGGAAGTGGAAAGGGGCTGGGCTACATGAGGTGACTTGAGCCAACAACAATACACAATAGGTGGGACTAAGAAAGATAATGTGAACATATAAAAACAAAGGCATTAATTAGGGCTGCAAAATGTCTCCCATTGTAATGGTGATGAGATTTTAAATGCTAACACTTAACAGTTTGTTCTGACTGTGTTTCCTGTTTCCTGCAGACGTCCAGCAGCTGGTGGTGGTTAAAGAAGAGCTTCTCCCTGACCAGCAGGAGTGGAGCACCAGTCTGGACCAGGAGGACCCAGAGCCCCCCCCACACATTAAGCTGGAACAGGAGGGAGAGCAGCTTCAGGAGCTGGAGGAGGCTGATATCACCAAGTCCACTTTCACTCCTGACCCTGTGAAGAGTGAAGATGATGAAGAGAAACCTCAGTCCTCTCAGCCTCATCAAAGACAAACTGAACACATGAAAACAGAAGCTGATGGAGATGACTGTCGAGGACCAGAACCAGCCAGGAACTCAGATCCAGAGAGCAGTTTGCATCCAAAGACTGAGGACCACACTGGAGACTCTTCTGAACCTGACACTGAAGACTCTTCTGAACCTGACACTGAAGACTCTTCTGAACCTGACACTGGAGACTCTTCTGAACCTGACACTGAAGACTCTTCTGAACCTGACACTGAAGACAGTGCTGATTGGAAAGAGACCAGAGAACCTGCATCAGGCTCAAACTCACTGAAAAATAGACATGAATCTGTCAGTGATCCACAACGTAGTGCTGAAAAGAAACCATTCAGCTGCTCAGTCTGTAAGAAAGCTTTTTCACAGAGTGGAAGTTTAAAGTCACACATGAGAGTCCACACAGGAGATAAACCATTCAGCTGCTCAGTCTGTAAGAAAGCTTGTTCACAGAGTGAACATTTAAAGAGACACATGAGAATCCACACAGGAGAGAAACCATTTACCTGCTCAGTCTGTAAGAAAGCTTTTTCACAGAGTGGACATTTAAAGGCACACATGCTAATCCACACAGGAGAGAAACCATTCACCTGCTCAGTCTGTAAGAAAGCTTTTTCACAGAGTGGACATTTAAAGGCACACATGCTAATCCACACAGGAGAGAAACCATTCACCTGTACAGTCTGTAAGAAAGCTTTTTCAAATAGTGGACATTTAAAGTCACACATGAGAGTCCACACAGGAGAGAAACCATTCACCTGTACAGTCTGTAAGAAAGCTTTTTCACGGAGTGGAAGTTTAAAGACACACATGAGAATCCACACAGGAGAGGAAAAATAGATTTGCAAAGTTTGTGACAAAAGATTTAAATGGCGTAATCGTTTAAAAAGACCAAGTGTGTTGGTTAGGGAATACATTTGTATCCTAATGCCGTTACATGTAATACGTTACTCCCTAAGCCTGTTTTCACCCACCTGCAACCGATTCGCTAATAATCACAAATATTCATTTCTTCGACCCCTTGACTCGACTATTTCTTGTTTAATAATCATTACATCTCCTCAGGACCAAGTTCCCGTGTCCTTCCTTTCACCTGCTGATCACCCACTGCTCATTTAAGGTAGACTCACCTTTACAAGGGACCAGCTAGTCTTAGTGTCTTAATGCAAACGTTTTGTAAAGTGATGCTAGACCAACAACGTGCTGTTGGGCTGTGTGCTCTCTGCAGGACGGTGTCTGTACTCAAAGATTGTTTATGAAATGAGAGCTTCACTCTGTTTTTGTTGTCTAAACCAGGGGTTCCCAAACTTTGCCATGCCTAGGACCCCCATATAGCATTATCGTCTGGCGGGGACCGCCCTGTTGCCTTTTTTTTTTTTTAAATGATGAGTACATTATGATGGAAAATATGACAAATTAATCATACAGCTTAATATGTTTTCTTAATATATATTGGTATTAATAATTAATAATCAGTTATTCTTCAAACTTTTTTGTCTTTATCTTTTGTTTGTCATTCATTACATTACATTACATTGCATTTAGCTGACGCTTTTATCCAAAGCGACTTACAATAAGATGTTGATGGTGTCTTCTGTTATAAACATTCTTAACACAATATTAAACGTTAATATCAACAGTAAACATATTTTAAAGCATTTTTAAAGTGATTTCTGTCTTTATAATATTATATGATTTTGAACAGTAATATCAACAATTAACATATATTTGTATTATTTTTTAAAGCTATTTATATATAATATTCAACAGTAATATTAACAGTAAACGTATTTATATTCATATATATAAACAACAATATTTGCTACATCCGTGCTCTCATCCAGCTGCAGAGCGAAATATTCACTAGCTCTCACTTGCTCCAAAAGCTGAGCAGATGCTCAGTTTCACTCTCAGTAGCGGCAGCTCGATTCTGATTGGCTTGAAGGGCGGTCGTGTGAATTAAAAACAAAAAAATAAAATATGAAAAAATATTAAAAGAGATGCATTAAAGGACACAGATTGATAGATATGCAGTTATTAATAACATCTAAAAAATGTAACATTCAATTTTTTTTTAAATTCCACTTTCCCTCAAACTTTGCGCGACCCCCGGGGGGTCTGGCCCCCGCTTTGAAAAACACTGGTCTAAACATCGCCAACAGAGCGATACGTCTTCTTTCCAGCAGATGGCATACATGTTACATCATGCAGTTCACCTGTCATCCACATATTAGAGATTCAAAACAGCAATGTGTGAGATAAGGCTAGTAATTGACTATTTCAACAGAATGTGAAGAGGTTACAGTCTTGAAGCCACGTCCAATATGTTTGTGTTTTGTTTGATTAAATCGACTGAAATGAGCATTCAATGACTCAATTATTCTGAATTACTGTCATTACATCATGGGTTTGCATTGCAATATTAGAACGCATAGAACCAACTTTATTTCTTCCAAGTTGCGGGTGTTCATTGTTTAGAAGTCCGCTGTGTTTCATCCAAGCTTCCACTGCGTGCTCCGATAATGCTGAAAGTATCTGTTGTATGCTTTACCTGCTCCAGTAACACAAGTGTAATTGACTGGACAGAGACAAGAGATAGTGGATGGATCCAGAGGAGAACCAGAAGATAGTCCGCATAGAGCCTTCAGGCTCTGAAAATGATCAGGGATAGAGCTAGAAAAAAACTCCAAAAACCTGAATAGAGCTAGAAGATAGCAAAGCCAAGAAAGACCCAGACAGGAAGGAGCCAAAATAGTTTGTATTTTTTATTTTTTAATATTCAAGCTCTTCTCTTAAGATATTAGAACATCTTATCAGAATTCTCTGAGTTTGTATCAACTTTGGTACTTAAAACAGATAAAGTAATTATCGTAGGTGACTTTAATATTCATGTTGACGATGATAAAAAATAGCCTTACTGTTGCAAATAACTCTATATTAGATTCTGTTGGTTTCTGTCAGAGTGTAAATAAACCAACCCACTGCTATAATCACACTCTCGACCTTGTTCTGACTTATGCTATTGAAATTGAGCAACTATTAGTTGAACCGCATAATCCTGCTTTATCCGACCATTTCTTAGTAACATTTGAAGTACTGTTACGAGACTACAAAGCATTAGTCAAAAGCTCCTGCAGCAGAAACCTATCTGTTAGTGCTATAGCCACATTTAAGGAAGAGATTCCACCAATACTTAACTCGATAGCATGTCTGCATGTAAGGGAGGAAACTTATACAAAATGTACACCACCCCAAATTGATCATGTTGTTGATAGTGTTACAGATGCACTGCAAATACAATTATACTCTGTTGCTCCTTTGAAAAAGAAGAAAATGAAACAACATAGATTTGCTCCATGGCATAATGCCGAAACCCGTAAAATAAAGCAAAAGTCGAGACAACTTGAAAGGATATGGCGTTCCACTAAACTTGAAGAATCTCGTTTAATTTGGCATATTACTCTCAATGAATATAAGAAAGCACTGCGTAAAGCGAGAGCAGCCTACTACTCTTCATTAATAGATGAGAATAAGAATAATGCAAGATTTCTTTTCAGCACTGTAGCCAGGCTGACAGAGAGCCACAGCTCGATTGAGCCTTCTATTCCCATAGCACTCAGTAGTAATGATTTGATGTGCTTTTTTAACGATAAAATTGTTACTCTTAGAAACAAAATTAATTACCTCTTGCCTATGACCAGTATAGTGTTATCAACAGCTCCCGGAAACGTAAGTTCTAATATTACACTAGATAGTAAACTAGAATGCTTTTCAGCCATTAACCTTGAACAATTAAATTCAATGATTCTCTCTTCCCAATTCCAACTAAGCTGTTGAAGGAAGTTTTTCCATTAATTAGCACTTCTTTATTAAATATTATGAATATGTATTTATTATCAGGCTATGTTCCACAATCATTCAAAGTAGCAGTGATGAAACCGCTTATTAAAAAGCACAACCTCGATCCAGAGGTTTTAGCCAACTATAGACCTATTTCTAATCTTCCGTTCCTCTAAAAAATTCTTGAGAAAGCGGTCGCAAAACAGTTGTGTGATTACTTAAAAAACAATGATTTATTTGAAGATTTTCAGTCTGGCTTTAGAACACATCATAGCACAGAGACAGCTCTGGTTAAAGTTACAAATGGCATTATAATAGCCTCAGACAAGGGACTTGTCTCTATTCTTGTTTTGCTCAATCTCAGTGCTGCATTTGATACTATCGACCATGATATCCTATTGCAAAGACTAGAGCACTTAGTTGGCATACAGGGAACTGCTTTAGGCTGGTTTAGGTCCTATCTATCTGAACGCTCTCAGTTTGTACGTGTTAACGATGAATCTTCTATGCAAACCAAAGTTATCCATGGTGTGCCACAGGGCTCAGTGCTCGGACCTATTTTGTTCACATTATATATGCTTCCATTAGGCAATATTATAAGGAATCATTCTGTAAACTTTCATTGTTATGCGGATGATACTCAACTATATTTATCAATCAAGCCTGATGAAATTAATCATCTAAATAAAATTCAAGACTGCCTTAAGGACTTAAAAACGTGGATGACCTTACATGTTTTGATGTTAAACACGACCAAAACTGAAGTTATTGTACTTGGCCCAAAGAATCTACGAAACAAATTATCTAAAGATATACTAACTATGGATGGCATTAATTTGGCCTCCAGTGAGACTGTAAGGAATCTTGGTGTAATATTTGATCAGGATTTATCCTTTAACGCCCACATAAAATCAATTTCAAGGACCGCCTACTTCCATCTACGTAACATTGCAAAAATCTGGCATATCTTGCCTCAAAACGATGCAGAGAAACTAGTCCATGCATTTGTTACTTCAAGGCTGGATTATTGTAACTCCTTATTATCAGGGTGTACCAAGAAGTCAGTCAAGTCACTTCAGCTGATTCAAAATGGTGCAGCTTGTGTACTAACCAGAGTTAGGAAAAGGGACCACATTACTCCTGTTCTGGCTGCCTTTCACTGGCTCCCTATAGAACACAGGATATCATTTAAAATTATTCTTCTCGCCTACAAAGCCCTTAATGGGCAGGCGCCATCTTACCTTAAAGAACTCATTATACCCTACTGTCCTATTAGGGCATTGCGTTCCAAGAATGCAGGGTTGTTGGTTGTTCCTAGAGTCTCTAAAAGTACAATGGGAGCCAGAGCCTTTTCTTATCAAGCTCCACATTTGTGGAATCAGCTTCCAGTTTGTGTTCGGGGTGGCAGACACCTTATCCGTTTTAAGAGTGTGCTTAAGACCTTCCTTTTTGATAAAGCTTATAGTTAGGGCTGATTAGATTCAGCCCCTAGTTTTGCTGATATAGGCTTAGTTTGTTGGGGGACATCTTACTTCTTCCTTCTCTCTGTCTATACCTGTGTACTCTCATGTTCCGATTAACCCAGCTTCCCCAAATGTCTTTCTTTTTGGTGTCTATATACGCCGGGATCCGGATGGATATCCTCGTGGATTCATCTTCCTATTATACACACATGCATTTCCAAACATTTGGACTACCTATGTTGCAAATGTATTATCTTTTCAATTCACA